GAGCGGCGGGGCTCGGAGGCTGCGGGGCGCCGGCCCGAGTTTGAACGCGCAACTCGCGAGCCAGGGGCGGCTGGGCGACCCCGGGAGGCTGGCTGGCGGGAGCCCGGCCCCCTCTCCCCGCTTCCCCGAGGCCGCCGTGGCAGGTGGTCTGCGCTTCTCCGTCCTCCCGCCCGGCGGGGCCTGGCTGCCCCCAGGCTCGCCCTCGGGCGTGGGGAAAGTGGCGAAATCGAGGCCGGGGCTCCGGCCCGGCAGTGTAGGCCTCGCTCTCCCGGGGCTCCTAGCGACAGGCAGCTGAATCGATAGCCTATTGCTCCCGGGGAGGCCCCGACCCGCGGCGGCGGCGGCGGCGGCGGAGGCTGTCGCCGGGGAGCTGCGCCTGTCGCCGGTGGGGGCGCTCGCCTCCGCTGCCCCCTCCTCCCGGGGTCGCGGCCCGAGGCGAGGGCGGGTTGGGAGGGGCGTCGGGGAGGGGGCGGCTCCCCGGAACCCTGTTTGGTGAAGGAGGGCGAGGTGGTCGGGCGTTCCCTCTCGCCTTCTACCCGCATTCCTCCCTTTTCCTACACTGGGAGATGGGAACCGGAGCCCAGCGCCGGACGTGGCGCTTAGCTTCACCCAGATCGCTCCCCGCTGGCTTTTTAATTTGCATAAGTGGGCAGCTCGTCAGACGCTTCTGGGATCACTGCAAAGCATCTGTCCTCGCAAGTAACAGTAGGAAGTGACACGGGGCCTATAGTCCAGAGACCCGACTTGTGTGATCATTTCACGGTAAACCTTCTGGGATTTTTCCCGACCTGACCTGACCTTTCCGCCCCAGATCGTTTTCCCTTTGACTAAGATAGTTTGGCACTCGATCATCCCAGGAAGAGACCTTATATTCCACTTCAAGGCAGACCCCCACCGAAAAGCTTCCGACCCTCGCACCGTCGTATAAATTTTTATCGGATAAATTTAAAAGGCAATAATAGAGAAAGACCTCTTTTTAAAACAGGAAGCTGTATTCCCCCCTACTGCTTCTTCTGTACATACTCCTGTCTTCTGAGAGCGATATGTTCCAACAGAGATGTTCCCAGACACAAGGCGACCTAGGGAGGGTTATTAGGGTACTCTTACAGCTACACTAATCCAGCTAATTAAATCACAACTATTCCTACACTGTCCAGTTTAACACACTTAAAAATAATAGATTTATTGAGGTATAAGTTACGTACCGTACAACTCACCCATTTAAAGCTAATACATTTTTAAAAATTGCCTCCCTTCTCTTTCAGTTACTTCTCTTATCCTTTTGGGTGTGTGGGGTGTGTGTGTTTTGCTGGCAATCAAACCAGAGGCCTGGGTTCTAGGGCATACACACACTCTACCCCCAGCCCTACTTCCCTTATCCTTGTGTAGGATTTTCCTCTATTCTATATATTACAATCTTGGCCAGTTCATTTCCTTTGGCTTAATTTTAGCCTTTAGAAGAAGATGGTCTTCTGCACAGGCAGGCTCTGGTTCTAGGCATTCGTTTCCTTAGCTTTTCTAGACCTGAATTACCGGCCTCCATCAGTACCTCCCGGGGTCCAGCCTTCTTTGCCCCTTGCTCCGCCCACCCCTCCCCGTAGCTCAGTTCTTCCTGTTTCTTTTTTATCTACTCCTGTATTTATTCCTTACAGCCATCTTTTCCACTGGCCCCTCCAGTTTGGCTCAGATAGACCTAGCTTTTTTTATTTGTTCTCTGAACATGGAATTTTGGTTAAAAGCCTTTTTAGCTATTCATCTTCCATTGTGAGTACAGCTTGTGCTAACACAAAGTTCCTTCTGCTTGCTTCAGATAAGGAAGCCCCCTTTGGGAGTCTTAATACACCTTAACTAGTTAAAGCTAATTGAATTTTTTTTTCTGACAAGTCCCTCAATAATCTTTCCTGGTTTAAATTATCTGGAGTGTCGTGTTTACAGTTTTTCTTATCTATCATTGTCCCTTATTAACACTTACTACCTGGGGGGGAGCACATAGTATTTTGAGGTTAATGCTATCTGTCCTTAATAATTGACGAGAATATTCACAGTAGTGTGGTGGGATATCGGACTCTAATTTCTTTTGTGTATTTTGTTGTTCTGTTTTGTCTTGTCTGGATTAAAGCCCTTACAAGTAGTGATTAAAATGGTGGTTTTTGTTTTTTTTTCATAGTTTGTTCCTTGTTTTTGCTTGCTAATTGTTTGGGCAAGATCACATTTCTGATGGTTGCTATATAGTATTTGATAGACTTTACTTACACCCAGGGAAAAAATATTTGTGAGTGCTGTGGCCATGTAAGACACTGTTAGTTGAGGTTACATTCCTTCTCTGTCCTAATGGCTAGCTTCTTCCAGGCATGGTGAGGCCAGCAGATGGTAAGAATAAAGCAGAGAAAATCAGACTGAGAAAAGGTGCTCTGCTGGGAATTGAGATTATGACAGCAACAAGTGGGAGAATGTTGGACACTTTAAAACACTAAAATATTTTAAACTAAACAGTATTTTTCTTTCTTGTTGCCCAGAAAAGGACATCACTATGATAGCATGTAAAGCAGTGTAGTATAGTTGACATATGGTTAAAATCATTGTTGTGTCATGTAATGTAATGTGCAATCTTGGTTTTTTTTTTTTTTTTTTGGTACCAGGAATTGAACTTAGGACCTCATGCTTGCCAGGGAGGCACTATGTGGCTGAGTTATATACTCGGCCCCAATGTGTGATCTTAGTTAAGTTACTAAACTTCTGTGGGCCTGCTTCCTGAGGTATGTACAGCAGGAGTACGTGTGCCTACCTGAAAGGCTGTTGTGAGATCTACATTAGGCAAGGTGTAGACTGAGTATTGAAAAGATGGCTAGTCTTCTCAGAGCAAAAGCTGAGTATTTTTCCCTTTTGTGATTGTAACACATGGTACATTCACAGCTAGTATGGGTAATAGTTCTGTGCAAATTGGTCAGACAGGACAGTTTTGTGACTTCGGGTTGTGAAATGGAGAGCACAGTGTGGCATGGAAAACCTGCCTGGGATGTGATGTCATGTATTTGAGTTAGAAACTTTACCAGAAACAGATTGTCATTAGGTGAATTGTTTCATTCCTCTTCTGTAAAATGGGTTTAAGAGATTGCTGTAACTACCCAACAGGATAGTAATAATTTTTTTTTTTTTTTTTTGGTGGTGGTGCTGGGGATTGATGTCAAGGCCTTTGCATTGGGCTACATCCCAGTCCACCTTACTTTTTTATTTTGAGACGGTCTTGTGAAGACCTGGGTCTTTCTTTGTAATCACTAAATTGCTCAGGCTGGACTTGAATTAGCAATCCTCCTGCATCAGCCTCCCACAATGCAAGGATTATCGGTGTGTACCACCACACCTGGCTTCAGTAAAATGCTACTCTGCAAAAGTACTTTATAAACTACTTGATTAGGCCCTGTGTGGTGTCGCATGGGTATAATTCCAGCACTTGGGAGGCTGAGGCAGGAGGATCAATGAGAGTTCCAGACCAGTATAGGCTACAAAATGAGTTCAAGCCAGCCTGAATAGCACAGTGAGACCCTGTCTCAAAAAGACAAATAAAACAAAATAAAAAAGTACTTGATTAGGAGTAAACATTACCTTTTTATAAGTCTAGTTTACGCTGGATGATTGATTATATGTATATTCGTCCTTTTAGAGGCAGAATAACACTGTATGTTGAAGTGCTTCTTACAAGAAAACTTAGCAGCATTAGGGAACTTAGGTTCCAACATATACAGAATCTGGCAAAAAAGATACACACCAGGGAAAGAAAAATTTGTAAAGCTATTTTAATACTAAATTTATTGTAACATTAATATGAGTTATCTTTGGCCTCTACCATTACAAGAGGTGTTTGAAAGTAGTGGCCATTAGCTTCCAGACATTTATTAGTACAGTGAACTCCTAAAGTGTGTATACGTTTTTTTGGTGGACTCTGTATTTTATGTGATATATTTTATGGGACAGATTTCTGCCTTGGAAAAGTTGCCATAGTGTACAATGATGAACAAGGTGATTGAATAATCAGCTCTTCGTGTGATATATTTTATCACATAAAATACAGAATTTTACCTTTTAGATTTTACCTTTTAGGTCTTTGTATCTCCTATGTATGTATGTATTTTTTTTTGTTTTGTTTTGTTTTCTGGAGACAGGGTCTCCCTATGCAGTTCAGGCTGGCCTTGAGCTCACTTTGTAGCCCAGGCTGGTCTCGAACTCGCAACGATCCTTCTGCCTCAGCCTCCTGAGTGCTGGGATTACAGGCATGCCCCACCATACCCCTTTTCCTATGTATTTATTTACTTAAGTGTTTAGCAGTGCTAGAGATTGAACCCAGACCCTTTATCACTGAGCCACATCCCCAGCCCCTGTTATGTACTTTAAATTACCTTTACCTCCTCTTAGGCTTTTTCTTTTTCCTACAGTGGGGTACTTTATATGTTTGATTTCTCTTTTTGAAGGTGATGAACATCTTTTTGGGAGTTGATTGAAAGATCAATCAGAAGGTAGCTCCTTGTGCATGACTTGAAATGTAATTCTGTCTTCTTGTATCTTATGAAGGATTTTGTGCAAACATTATTAGCATTAAACAGAAATAAAGATCTGGCTTTGAGAGTGAGAGTTGCTATAGTGTTTCCCTGTCATTGAGTTTTAAAGCATTAGAACCTGTAGAGCTAGCAAATTAATAGCCCATAAAGGTGAAGTTTTTGAATTATAAAGAGAGGTTATAATCTTTTGTGTGTGTGTGTGTGTGTGTGTGTGTGTGTGCACGCACGCGTGCTTATAAGTAAATGTAGGAAAATTACCTCCGGGAACTTTTCTTTTTTTTTTTTTGATACCAGGAATCGAACTCAGGACCTTGTGCTTGCTAGGCAGGCGCTTATGCCACTAAGCTATATCCCTGGCCCTCCAGGAGCTTTTCAAATAGTATTTATGCTATTTCAGCAACTCTGCTGTTTCAAAATGCTAGGAATTGTGAATGAGAAGAGGCATTTAGTTGCTTGGTAGTGATATATATAAATGGAGATAAGTAGTTAACCTATTTCTATTTCACAGGGACCTTTAACCTGAACACTAGAGTATAGATAGACCTTGGAGTCAGACTGCCTGGGATGCTCAACTACTTGCTAACTAGAACACCTTTGACAAGTCACTTATCCTCTTGTCTGTTTCCAGATAAGGACAGTAGCTCACAGGGTTGTAGTGAAGATGAAATGAAATAACAGGAGGTGAGGTGCTGGATGTGGCTACAACCTCCTGTAATCCCAGCAATTTAGGCAGAGGCAGGAGGATTACAAGTTTGAGACCAGCCTGGGCAATTTAGTGAGACCTTGTCTCAAAATTAAAAAAGGGCTGGGGATGTGGCTCAATGGTAGAATCCCTGGTACCACAATCAGTCAATCAGTCAGTCAAGGAAATAACACAAGTGCCTGCAGTTGTTATGAGTGCTATTGCTTCTGCAACTGTTACTATTTTTTAATTGTTTAATTTTTTGGTTTTTTTTTTTTTT